AGTGGAATTGCCAGCTTTGTTCAGAAGGGGTGAACAAATTATATGACAATTAATATCTGTGACAACTTGCCCCTTGCCCCATCTTCAAAGGTTAACCTGTCTGCACCCTCAGTAGCTGGGAAGGAGGGGTGGTAATGGAGCCTTAAATCTGCTCCCTTGGACCAGCAGCCCCAGAATACCGAAACCGAGTGGGATCTCTGATGCTAACAGTTAACAAGCATCTCAGGCTGCGGCAACATTGTCTGTTTTCGGGACTGGCCGAGGCACGTTTGGAAGTGGGCATCCCTGGTCCTGGGTGCTCGCCTCACATGACCTGACAGTGGTGCTGACTCAGCCACCGCACCCTCCCCTCCCAGGTTCAGCAGCAGCTGCTCCGCCCTCCCCTGCCTGGAATCCCTCTGCCTTTTCACATCCTATCAGTGGACTTTAGACTTTGCCTCACGAATCTGTGACCTACACCTGTGTGAACAGGTTTCGGAGGAGCAGGCTGAAGTTTGAGAATTGTCCCGAGTCCACCCGGGTGGTGAGGAGGAACAGCAGATCCAAGGAGGAGGCTGTCCCCGGGCAGGGGGTGATGGCCCAGAGGCAGATGGGCAGTGGTAGGCCATCCCAATGCCCAGATGCATGGGCAGCTGCCTGCTCTGTCCTTCAGAGTGTCATTCAAAGAGAGGAGCAGGGCCTCACTGAAAAGACGAATCCATTTCTCATGAAAATTGGCAACATACAGCCTGTTGCCCAGAAGGCTGGGCAGAGTTTCAGCCATTGCTTGGCAAACCATGCTCTCCTCCAGGCCTTCAGTCTGCATGTTGGAGATGGGAGTGGCAGGATGGGGAGACCACGGGTGTTGCCCTACCCCACCCAAGCTCGCTTGCCGATTGCACACGTGGCTGGCCCCACTGCTGACCACCCTCTCTCTTGGCCCCGCAGTCCGATGGCTCCATCCTGGCAATCGCCCTGCTGATCCTGTTCCTGCTCCTGGCCCTGGCTCTCCTCTGGTGGTTCTGGCCCCTCTGCTGCACCGTGGTAAGTGCCCCAGGCTCCTCCTCCTCACCTCTGGCCTCTGGCTGCTCAAAACCAAGAGCGTCACAAGGTTAACAGGACCGTGTAGGGAGAGGGCGACAAGGAACTGGGTAAATAATTAAGAATAAATCTAGCATTTTTTTTTTTACGATTTACACAAAATTGGCCCAAACTAACATGATCAAGAAAACCATGAGTCATTAAGAGTCAGTATGGGTGAGGGAGAGACATTGCCAGTGACACACCCTTTGGGCAGAGCCACGGAGAGACAGCTCTGGGCTCAGTGCTTAGGAGCAATCAGCAGAGTTCTGTAAATGATGAGTATGACTTGACATGTAATAAATATGCATGTATGTGTGTTTGGTACATGCTCATGCACGCACGCATGCACACGCGCACACACACACACACACACACACACACTTGTTGAGTTGCACCAGCCGATACTCTTCCCAAGCCACCTTGGTCTTAGCCACTAGTTAGCCTGTCAGAGAAGGTGCCTTGAGCCTCTTTTTAACAATAAAGAGTGGCACCTACCTTTATGCTGTTACTTTTTAGTTAACATTCAAAGGATGCACCTATGAGTGCCCAGCACAAGATCAGTAAGAACCTCCTCCCCATCACTGTCCCCTGGACCCAGCACATAGCTCTGGCCAGTGTTTTTCCAAATAGAGCAGGGCCTGGAATAACCCGCCATCACCTGCCTCATCCAAAGGATATGTGGCCGTCTATCAGTTTCTATTCCCTAGCCTCCAGGCCAGGTAAAGCCCAAAGTAATATCCAAACGAAGAAAAAGCATTAGCTCTCACACGTCTCATTCTAGCACGTGTCCTGCCTTCACGCACAATCAGAGAATGCGCTGTAAAGCCAGGCACACTTGAGCTGAGCTCTGCTCCCTGGCCATGGCATCTTCCACTCCCTGCATCTCAGTTCTTCCACGGCAGGCCCAGCAGGGCAGAATAGAAGGTGACCCTCTTCAGGCCAGAGCTTGTCTTCACTCTATCTCTGGGACTCCAGCATTTAGGACACAGTGCAGTTGGACTCACATCTGTGCCTGAAACTGAGCTGAACGGAAACCAGAGACCCCTAGGGCACTAGACTTGGGGAAGTGGCTTCAAATGACATTTCAAAGAGATTGTAAATGAATGAAATGAGAAACTCAGCCAGGACGTAGATTCATGGGGCAAGGGTTTCCAGAAAGAAAGAGGTTTTTGCACCAACAGAAGCCTCTGATATCAAGAGAAAGAGATGACCTGTAGTACGTAAGGATTTGTGTGCAGGAGGGAGCCCGGGCAGGTGCAAGTCTCGGGTTAATTACTGCAATCCAGGCTGGAGTAATTTCACCAAAATATTAAGCAGCATCTTAACCATGGCAGCCCCAAGAGTTAAATGTTAAATAGTTAGGCCTGCACAACCATTTTATTTTGAAGGTAAAAAACAAAAACAAAAAAACTAGAAAACTGTGAGTCAGCCAGAGTGCTTTCTATGGTGATTTTAACAGCAAGCATATTTTCAAGTCTGGAGTTCTGGGGGGAGAAAATCTTGCAGTGAGCTCTTAAAGAAGGGGGTGGCTGGGAGTGGTGATGGTGGCAGCCTGAAATGAACACCAAGGCTTCTACCCTTTGTTCACTTAGTCCCTTTGATTATTAAAAAATAGTTACCTCCGAGTGGGGACAGCTAGGAACAACAGAACAGCCAAGAAGTACTCTACCACTCCCTACCTGTGTGATCTTGGGCAAGTTACTTAACCTCTCTGTGCCCCGAACAATAAGAGCTCTGACCTCATAAGTAGATGGCGAAAATTAAAGGAAAATATATATTTATATTTGGAACTTAGAACAGTTTTCCTTGTATTATTAATATTTTTAAATACTTACTATCATGGGAATATATAAATAACTGTATTGTGTGGCATTTAATTTATGTTGGTGGGAAATGTCTTTTTTTTCCAGTTTTACAGAGATATAATTTATATATAGCATTTTATAAATTTAAGGTATACAACTTAAATATTTGATGCACGTATATATTGCAAAAAGTTTATCATGATAAGTTTAGTTAACGTCCATCATCCCACATAGTTACAAAATTTTTTCCTTATGATGAGAACTTTTAAGATTTACTTGCTTTGCAACTATCAAATGTACAATAGAGTATTCTTAACTATAGTTATCATGCTGCACATTACACCCCCAAACTCATTTATGACTGGAAGTTTGTACATTTTGACCACCTTCACCCAATTCCCCTACCCCCCAACCCTGTACCCCAACCCCCATTCTTTCTGGCAGCCACAAATCTGATCTCTGTTTCTATGAATTTGGTTCTTTTAGATTCCACATGTAAGTGAGGTCATACAGTATTTGTCTTTCTCTGCCTGACTTATTTCACTTAGCATATGCCCTCAAGGTCTATATTCATGTTGTTGCAAAGGGCAGGACTTCCTTCTTTCTATGGCTGAATAGTACTCCATCGTACATGTATCCATCTTCTTTATCCATTCATCTGTCTCTGGACCCTTAGGTTGTTTCCACGTCTTGGCTCTTGTAAATAATGTTGCAATGAACATGAAGGTACTGATGTGTCTTCAGGATAGTGATTTTGTTTCCTTTGAATATATACCCAGGAGTGGAAGTGCTGGATGATATGGTAGTTCTATTTTTAATTTTTTGAGGAACCTCCATACTGTTTTCCACAGTGGCTGCACCAGTTTACAGTCCCATCAATGGTGCACAAGGATTCTCGTCAACACTTGTTAGTCCTTGTCTTTTTGATGATAGCCATTCTAACAGACATGAAGTGATACCTCATTGTGGTTTTAATTTCCAGGAAAATGTGTCTTAGTATCTTTCATTATTGAAAGCAAGATCACACAAGCCAGATTGTTTTGCAATATTCAAAATATTTTTCAATGATTGTATCTGGTTAAGTCTATGTTGCTTTGGAAAGCAGACAGAATGTCTTAATGTGGTCTGATTTTGTAAGTCCCAGGGGATTTCTTTATAAGAGAAGATCTTGGAGATAGATCGTCTTGTTTCTGAAGTCCGTAAAAACTGCCCTCACACCTATTTCTGGAAAGCCAGCTGGGGCTCTGATTCTTGGTGTGCCCCCCAGATTACTTGCTGATCACTGGCTCCCTTCACGAGTGATGATGTTTGGAAGGAGACAGGATAAAGTTACATGTTTTCTGAAGGGAGTACGCAGGAAAGAGGGCACATGCCACACCCCCACACCCCCCGCCACCCCAGGATCCTGTTCAGAGAAGGCAGGAGGTTTCTCTCCCCCGTGTGACAGCATTCCTCACCACTGTCTGGGACAAGCAGAGGGCATCCTTGTAAAAGACGATCCTGAACGCTTCGCTAGGTTTTTTTCCTTAGAAAACGTTATCCAGTTACTGTCCCACTCACTTCCTTGTCCCAGATCCTCTTGACTGCTCAGTGTCTCTAGGATAGACTTTAAATTCCTGGACATGGCATGTGCAGACCTTTCTCAACCTGGTTACAACCCGCCCCTCCAGCCCCACCTCTTACCTCCTCCTCCCTGTGCGTGGACTCCCTCAACACCCCATGCCGGCTTCCTTCACAGCACTGATCATGCTGTTATAATGGATTGTTTGCTTGTCAATCTCCCCCTGTTGGAAGCCAGGGCTCTGGGTCTCTAGAGCATAACACAGTGCCTGGCTCAAAACTGTTAGTAAATCTCAAAGTTCGTTCAGTAGCTAAATGGAAGGAGGGCCATCTCCAGGCATGCTCTGTTCTATGGGGCTCCTTGAACATACCATGTAGTCATCTCTTTGCTTAAATTGTTTCCACTTACAGAAATAGTTTCATCTTCTTTATCTACTCTGTCACCAATTCCTCTTTCTTCAAAGCCC